GGAGGATTCAGAGGGGGAGCTCCCCGGATCCTTTTTGATTGAGCCGGCAGGGAGCCGCACTCCCGAGCTGCGTGCTCTGTAAGGGTGTGCTGGTGGGCAAGCAGGAGGGCCAGAAGGAAGTCTTTGGCAAGGAAGAGAAGGAGGCCCATGGGGGGTTGGCAACACCCTGCCCCCCTGCTTGTGGGGGATGCCCTGTGGGGCAGGGAGTGGGTGTCTCCCCACCTGTCCCACATGTGCCCTTCTTTGGGCCTTGGAGGGGCAGGTGAGGGAGCTCCAGGCAGAGGTTAGCAGGCTAAGGGGGATCAGGGAGGCAGAGGATGAAATTGACGGGTATTTCCATTCTCCACAGGGCCAAACACCAAATGGAGAAGCACTCCGGGTGGTGCCCTCCACAGCAGAATGGCAGAAGGTTCCCTCCAGAGCCAGGGCTGCTCGCAGTGGAGCAGTATCAGCTCTCCCAGTCCAGCTGGGGAACAGGTATGAGACCCTGGCAACATTGGAGGAGGAAGAAGGGGAGGAGGCCACTCCATGCACAGCACAGGCTGGAGGAGGCCAGAACACCCAGAGGAAGAAGAGACGCCGGGTTCTCGTCATAGGCGACTCCATCCTGAGGAGGAACAGAGAGGCCCATCTGTTGACCTGATCCCATGACACATGAGGTCTCCTGTCTGCCCGGAGCTCAGATATGACAGAGATGATCCCGGACCTTATCTGGCCCACTGATTATTACCCCATGGTCCTAATCCATGTGGACACTAACGATGCGGCCAGGAACAGTCTGGATCACCTCATGAAGGACTACAAGGTTCTGGGGGACAAGCTGAAGGAGAGAGGGGCACAGGTGGTCTTCTCCTCTGTCCTCCCAGTGAGCAGACATGGACAATGCCATGAAACCTGCATCAGGGAGGTCAACTTACAGCTTCGGAGCTGGTGTTACAATGAGCTTCGGCTTTTTAGACTTCCGAACAAGAGATGTGCTCAGGTGGGATGGACTTCATCTCTCCCCCAAAGGTAAGCGTGTGTTCTCTTTCAAGTTGGCTGATCTCCTCTGATGGGCTTTAAACTAGGTTTGTTGGGGAGAAAGGGAGGACAAGGACGAAGGGATCTACACAACACTGAACCATGAGATACCCACAAGATCAGCCTAGGTAAGTATCAAAGAACCTATTAGACAGCAGTATAGGGGTGTTCCAGGGGCAGCCACCAGGGGAATTAAGTGTATATATACAAATGCCAGGAGCATGAGAAACAAGCAAGAGGATCTAGAACTCTTGCTTGCGAGCAATAACTTTGACCTAGTGGGTCTAACTGAAACCTGGGGGGTGGGGATCTCTACTTAAGACTGGGTGGTAAGAATAGAGGGCTACAGGTTGTACAGGAGAGATAGAGAAGGGAAAAAAGGAGGGGGTGTTGCTCTCTCTGTCAAAGAACAGTACACATCTTCCCTAATCAAACTGGGATCAGAGGATGGACAAGCAAAGACTCTGTGGGTTAGGATGCAAGGGGGTCAGGGGAAAGGGACCTGGTGGTCTACTACAGACCTCCACACCAGGAGAACAATGTAGATGCGGCATTTTCCAGGCAGCTCTCAGAGGCTGTGCAGTCTAGAGATATGGTAGTCGTGGGGGACCTTAACTACCCAGACATATGTTGGGAGGAACAGTCAGCTAGATCTAACCACTCATGCAGGTTCTTAACCTGTATTCAGGACCTCCACCTAAGACAGGATGTAAGGAGTCCCACCAGGGGTAATGCCTTGCTCGACTTGGTGTTGGCCACAGGGGAAGGACCTGGTGGGGGAACTGCAGATTCAAGGCAACTTAGGGGACAGCGATCACCAAATGATAAAATTCAGAGAAGGGCGGGCACTATACCTAGCAGGACACAGGTGCTAAACTTTAAAATGGCTGACTTTAACAGGCTCAGGGGATTGGTTATCAGGGTACTAGGAACAAAGAGCCTAGATGCTTTGGGGGTCCAGGAGGGGTGGTCATTCCTCAAGGATACCATTCTTTGGGCTCAGTAAGACAATCCCATGGCAGAGGAAAGGGGGCAAAAGGGCCAGAAAGCCCCTATGGCTAACCAGGGTCATCCAGGATACCTTATGGGCAAAAAAAGTAGCATACAGGAAGTGGAAGCAGAGGGTAGCTAGCAAGGAGGAGTATACTTCCTTGGCCTGCACCTGCAGGGACTCAGTCAGGAAGGCCAACGCAGCTCTAGAACTCAAACTAGTGACAGGGATTAAGGACCATAAAGAGTCCTTCTTTAGCTACTCTGGGAGCAAAAAGAGGGTGCAGGGTAGCATAGGACCCCTACAGGACAGGCAGGGGGGCTTAGTAATGGATAGCAGGAACAAGGCAGAGCTCTTCAATGAGTTGTTTGCCTCTGTCTTCTTAAATAGGAATCTAGATGAACCCTCATTATGCGTCACAGACACCAACAAGGGGAACATCAGCCGACCAACAGTCAGTGCCAACATGGTAAAAGGACACTTGGAAGGACTGGACGTGTTCAAATCACCAGGACCGGAGGGACTCTACCCACAGGTAACGAAGGAATTAGTGAGTGTCATAGGTGAACCACTAGCAAGGATATATGAGCACTCATGGTGCTTGGGTCAGGTCTCTGAGGATTGGAAGAGGGCCAATGCCATCCCAATTTTTAAGAAGGGCAGGAAGGAGGATCTGTGGAACTATAGACTGGTCAGCCTTACCACTATCTCAGGGAAAATCCTTGAAAAAAAGTTATCAAGGAACACATCTGTGGGAGCCCGCTATGTGATATGGAGGGGTAATCAACATGGGTTTATAACAGGCAGGTCCTGCCTGACTGACCTAGTTTCTTTTTATGACAAGGCCACCAAATGTTTAGATGCAGGAGTTGAGCTGGATGCTATCTGTCTGGACTTCAAGAAGGCCTTTGACAAGGTATCCCATACCATCCTTATTAATAAACTGAGGAGATTTGCCTTAGATGATTATACAGTAGAATGGGTTAGCAAACTGGCTCAGGGATCGCACTCAGAGGGTGATGGTGAACAGGTCAGTGTCAACCTGGAAAGATGCGTGCAGTGGAGTCCCTCAGGGCTCAGTTCTAGGGCCGGTGCTGTTCAACATCTTCATCAGCGATCTGGATGAAGGGGTGGGAAGCACCCTGTCCAAATTTGCACGTGACACAAAAATATGGGGTGAAGCTAACACCCCGGAGAGAAGGAATCAAATCAAGGCTGACCTCGACAGGTTGGGGAAGTGGGCAGACAGCAACAGGATGCAATTCAATAAGGACAAGTGCAAGGTACTGCATCTAGGGACAAAAAACTGCCATCATACCTATAGGCTGGAGGGCAACCTTCTCAGCACCACTGAGGCAGAAAGAGATCTTGGAGTCACTGCTGACCCCAGGATGAACATGAGCTGTCAATGGGATGAAGTAGTTGAAAGAGCCAGTCGCATCTTGTCGTGCATCTGTAGGTGCTTCACAAACAGGTCCAGGGAGGTGATTCTCCCTGTCTAAGAAGCACTGGTCAGGCCGCAGCTGGAGTACTGTGTCCCATTCTGGATGCCACAGTTCCAGCGGGATGAGGAAAACTTGGAGAGGGTCCAAAGAGCCACTCATCTGACCGGAGGCCTGCAGGGAAGGCCTTATGAGGAAAGGTTAAGGACCTTAATATCTCTTCAACCTCTCCAAGAGAAGGCTGGGAGGGGACCTTGTGGTGGCGTACAAATTCATACGGGAAAGCAACACAAAGTAGGTGATGATCTGTTTACCAGGGCACCCCCTGGAAAAACAAGGAACAAATGGCCATAAGCTATTGGACAGTAGGTTTAGACTGGACATTAGAAAAAGGTTCTTCACGGTCAGGGTTGCCAGAATATGAAATGGGCTTCCAAGGGAGGTGGTGCTTGCCCTATCCGTGGGGGTCTTCAAGAGGAGACTGGACAGGCAGCTGGCTGGGATAACATGATCCCAGGTTTGAGTGACCATTTTCTTGCTTGACAGGGGTAGGGGGCCAGACTAGATTGCCCACTGGGGTCCCTTCCGACCCTAGAATCTATAAATCTATCATTTCTAATAATTAAGAACAAGAGTACCCAGACTTTTCAAACAGGGATAGTTTGCAACATGCTTAGCTTACAATGGGAAGCTGAATTAAAAGTGAGCTGGCTGGCTGTTCAATGAGGCTTTTACTTCAAAAGTAGGTCACTTCTATAGTTAGCTGGTGCTCAGCACTGCTCCTGTGCAGTTGACTGAATAAACAGTGCCCTTGGAAATAAAACCTGCAATCAAATGGCTGGCACATCTCTGCAGTCAAGCAACTGTTTGTGTGGTTCTATATAAAACTTAGTTTGTACGTCCTCATTTTCACAGGGTGTTAAGGACCTATGCCTGCTTAGAATCCAGGTTCTACTGTACTGTGATCTAGTGATGACAGACTCTCAAGCTGAGTTCACATGGTCTTGTTGTGACAAGTGGCAGACCTATTTTCTAGCCTGTCTAGATAAGAATTATCTGCACCATTTGGTGCCCAAAAAAAACTCTAGTTCTTTTAATGGTTTATTCTAACAAAAGGAAAACCCCAAGCTTTTTAGCTACCTCCACTGACATGTTTAAAACCATGCAGGAATGATTGCCTACATTGGTTCAATTTTATGCCAGGAGTAACCACTTGCCTCTCAAAATATTAGAGCAACCCTTGGCTGGACATCTTGAAAAATGAAGCCACCTTTTATATCCAGCAGGGGGCTGAGGAAACTATGTCCCAGCAAGCCATGCTCACTTTCACTCACTCTCTCAACATGAGCTACTCTTGATCATTAAGAAGTCCCAGCATAAAGTGTCACCAAAAGACTCCTGGATTGAGATGGGAGTACAGCATACCAGAATCTGTAGTTTCTACAAAGAAAATCTGCAACAGCTACTACTAAAATATATGAGTCCTTATAAATTATACATCAGAAGGAACTAGAAATGCCAGCATCATCTATATATGCAAGCCATACCTTGCCAACCAAAGCAGGAATGTTCATAGAGTTCGTTGCAAACCCCATCCCATATGCCATCGCAGATTCCACCCCTAGGAACCTGGCCACTAATTTTTCCAGGTCCTCATGCTTGTCCAGGTTTCCTGCATACAAAAACAGCAAGAGGCCAAAATGTAAAGAACACATACCATGAATTGGTGCTGACAGATGGTTTTCAAATTAGATTGTCTTCTCTGGTCAGATCCATTACAGGAACAGATTTCAGAAAAACCAGGACCTCAGAACATGCATAAAACTAAGCATCAGAGAGACCATTATCTTCACTCTTAATTATTTCCTTAAAATTTAGCCTGGAGTGGGAAAGCTGGAGCCCAGCAGTACTTTAGAGACTAGATCAGATTAGAGACTGACATACACTTTAGAAACACCCACTCCACCAAACTTACCCATCTCCTGCCTAGTGCTGCACACCCCAGCTCCATATCGTGACAGAACTTTAGCTGCTGCTTCTTGGCAAATTCCAGTGTTCTGTGCAAATCCAAGGTAGTTGTAGGAACCCATGTTAATAACGTCTTTTATCACTCTCCCCGTGTACCTGTATTTTAATACCACCACATGTTAACACACTGGCAACTGCAAAAGTAATGTCTACACAAGAATGCACTAGCTATTAATCAGCCTTACAGGAGGTGTACTGAAGTAGCAAAGACCAACAGTCAGTGGTCTAGTTCAAAACTGAAATATTCAGCTGACACTCCACTGCTGTGGCCCTGGATTCAAGACACAGGTACTAAACCTGTTAGATTTAGATGCTTAAAAGTAAACAGCCACAAAGATGAGAGGTTCCAGTAGATGTCTATTTAAATAGGGTTTCAAATTTTAAAGTTGAAGGTTTTTCAGAAGGTTAACCGTCTCTTTCCCCTCCTCCCCACCCCCCAGGTCCCTTTCTTGCCTCTCCCCTCTGGTTTCAAAATCTTCTAATTTGTGAACCAAATTCTTTACATCAGTTAGTTTGATACTCCCTCAAGCAGGATATCCGCCAAGTACAAAAAGGAAATGCATTTGGCACTGATACACTGCTGCCTGTGACACAGGAGATTATGGAAAAGCTTTTTTGGGTGGAGTGGGGAAGAGTTGCTGAATATTACACTCTTGAAAGCCCAGTACTGGAACTGCTATTTTACTGAGCAACTGACACCACCTTTGTGTATAAAACATTTAAGGAACCTCAGCTCATTGATTTGTTGCAAACCTTGTTATTCCATTTCTGGTTTTCTATCCCATACATCTGCAAACTGCATTCCTAACCCAGACCTCTCCTATTAAACTCAGCCTTAAAAACAGTAATACGGTAAATGTGTGTGACGTGCATTTGACCATCAGACTCCTAAACACTCTTAATCCAGTGGTTCTCAAGCTCATTAGACTCAAGGCCCCTTTGAAAATGTTACTTTCTAACTTTCACTCCTTTTTGGCTATGGAAAAATAGAGCAATTCTGTTGAAAAAGACTGACACACCACACAAGTCAGAATGTTTTTGACCCTATGGATTCCTATTCAAAAATCTGTTTAATCTTAAACCCTTGGCTGTGCTAATATTGAACAGCACCCATAACAAACAAAATATTTTGGCACTCCAGAATGCTACAGCACTTTGGTTGAGATTCACTGTTCTAATCCATCTTGGAACCGTCATCAGAAGAGAGACAAAACAGAACATTTCCTGCACAGAACAGTTCACCATGCACCGAAATACCAGCCTTTACTGATGGCTTCCTATCATATGACCCCTTCCAGACAAAACTATTTAACGTATTTGCTGTTTATTAGTCATACCTAGAGCTATGGCATAGAAATCATGATTTTACTTAACAGGCTTTTTCCTCTCAAATGCTGAGGATTACTTTAAAACACAAAAGACAGTTCTCATAACCCTTGATTTGCTCTTCCACATTCTCCACTCAACGTTGTTGGGAATCTTTCCAGTTTTGACTTACATGAATGTCCAGTTATAGTCATGGGAAACTCTCTCCATCATGTCCACCTTGGCCCCTGGCACACTACAGATTGGTCGGTTCCAGCTGTCTCGAATGCGCATATAGAGGTTCCTCGTGTAGAAGTTTTCAAAGTCCTGATACAGAGGGACAAAGTCCTGCAACACACACATCAAGGGCATTAAACACAAGAGAAAAGTATCACACGTCTAGTTTACTGTGATGAAGAGGGAAGTGATTTTCCACATCAATTTAGGATGCATTTTGTTGTGCATACAACAACAATACAGACATGAGATACTAAATAACGCTTTGCACCTACAGGACCTCAAAGCATAACACAAGATAAGTTATCCTTATCCCTGTATTACTCATTGGAAACTCAAACCAATGACCCACCGACGTCTACACAAACAGCAGCATCAGAGACATAAGGAATTGGGAAATGAATTCTAGTACAACACTGTCTGTTAGCCCCATGCTCCAACACCTGCAACTTAGTACAATCTCATTTATGCAACATTACAAGAATGAAATGAGAATTTTTATTTATGTATTTATTTTTTACACCTTGGAGAAGCAGTATGGGATTGCCACTAACTCTACAGACTAGGACATGAGTGACCTTAACAAGTTACTTCACATCAGCCCCTTAATTCACCCAGCAACCAAATTGGGATGGGATAAGATTTGTCATGTAAACTAAGATACCAAATTAATTATTGAAGAGTAGGAGGCAATCGTCAAAGTTCTGGGAGCTGGGCTGGCAGGATAACAGCAATAAGCAGACATCCCTTTCTTCCCCCCAGCTCTCCACCCCCACCTCCTTACAGGTACAAAGATACCATTTTACGGTCTCTGATGACAGAAGCAAAACATTAAATGTAGCAGCATTAGCATTACTGTGGAAACTAATGGTTGAATTTTCCAAATTTCTCTTTTGAGAATCCCAGTGGTAAATGTGAATTATGAGAGTGGACTCCTTTCTAATGGTCTGTGTTATCACTTAAGTCCCAAAGTTTTATTTGCATGAATATTTCCTGAACTCTTGCTTCCCTTCCAATGTGTTTCAGGAAAATAAAGTGGGTCTTGAACCGATAGCAGGCAAGAATATCAAGCTGACTGCGACCAGAAATAGCATCTAAGCACATGGGACAGACATTTCACTTGGTGCACTTGAAATACTTAGAAGTCATAACATGTCTTTACTACCAGTCAGTTAAAAGGAAGTTTCTTGACATGCAGAAGAGCAGCAAGTCTACAAAGAATGTACTAATTACCCAATATTGTTGCAAGAAAAAAAAACTTAAATACCACAGTATCTGCAGAGGGGAGAGATTTGAGTTTATGATTGAAGACAGACAATATGAATGTTTTATATTAGCTAGTATGGGTGGTTTTTTGTTTTTGCTTTAAGGTCAGGAGGCAAGACTGCCTGGATGACTGATGAGTAGTATGTCTGACCTTAGATATGCGATTCTCAACTGAACACTGTGCACTAGATACATTTACTGTATGCATGTGTCCATTAACACAAGTTACTACATATGGCTTTCTGGCCCTTCATACAATGAATTACTAGTTTCTCTCTGAAGTTTACAGCAGCAGGAAAAGCTGGATTTGTAAGTTTTAATATTATATCTATAAACAAAAAAGTAATTTTTCTAGAAATGTCTTCTACTTTTCTCTGTCTTAAGAATACGTAGTCTTGGCCCCTCTGTTTTTGCTCGAGGTCTGGGAAGTTGAATGGGAAGCTCTAACTTCAGATAAGGGGCAGTTAAGAAAGGGTAACTTCCCTCTCAGCCATGTATCATTTAAGAAGCATTAGAACTAGTTGCCTTCAGTGTTGCACCAATAAAGATTTTTTTGGCTGATACCAATGGCTGACTGTTAACTAACCATATCAGCCAATACCAGTCTGATAGCCAGCATGCAGCCTTGCAGCTCGGAGAACAGTGTCTGGCCGGCAAGTCTGTGGGAGAGGAAAGGGGTGTGGGTGGGATCCAATCAAGGCCCCCATGGTGAGACAGGGAATGGGGCTGGGGCAGAGGCAGGCACTGTTCAGCTGGGGTAGAGGTGTGCAGGACAGAGCCATGGGTGGCTCCTGCTGCTGTGTGCTCTTCTGAAAGAGGCACGGGGGGCACATGCCCCCCAGATTTGTGCATGGAGCAAGGGCGAGCTGTCTGCTGCAGGCTCAGGTCCAGGGACTCTGCCAACCTCTTCCTAATGGGGAGGCTGGGCCAGGGCTGCGCTCGGGGCAGGCAGCAGTGGCGCTAGGAGGGGGGCTACAGGGTAGGCTACAGCCACCCCAAAATTCAAAGGGGCTCCCCCCCACTCCCTGCCCAGTGCTACCGTTGCCCACAGCCCCAGTCCAGGCCCCCACCAGGAAGAGGCTGGTGCAACCCCTGGCCCCAAGCCCACAGCTTTTCCTTGCCTGGCCTACAAGTCTGGGGGGTACATGCCCTGCATGCTTCCCCCAGGGATGCATGCACAGTGGGGAGATGTCCCGCACCCTGATGACCCTCCTGTGGTGCTCTCCTGTGCCCTGCCCCACCCCAACTGGGCAGCACCTTCCTCTGCCCCATTCCCTTCCTCTCCGTGGGGGCCTCTATTGCCCCCCCCATGCCCCTTTCCCCCTATAGACTTACTGACTAGATGTTGCTCTCCAAGCTGCTGGGCTGCATTCCTAGCCATGTGCACGCTGCAGCTGGGTGCATGCATGTGGCATTTATTGGTAACATTATCAGCTACACCAGCCAAAAAACCCCAATTGCCAATAACGTCAATTTTCCTTTTAACAGTGCCAGTCCAATACAGACCAATATATTGGTGCACCTCTAGTTACCTTGCACTTTCTTTGAATGAGGTTTTGCAGTAGGATCTTGCCATTCTCCCAAACAATCTCTCAGTAAAGAAGCTACGTGGACAGTAGACAAGTGTCTAAGAACAAGTATTTTCAAGAGCTTCAATCTTTGTACTATAAATCAAGTACCTCCTGCAAGGATCAGACATGAACCAAGTCTGCTTAGCACAAAATATGTGGAAAGTCATTCCCAGTATTCAATCCTCAGCTCTTAAACTCCCTCCCTTTTAAGGTCAGCCAGGGACAGAGCTCAGACAGCTTTCAGTAGTACTGTAAGACCTTCCTATTTTGGACAAGTACTTAGCAAACAAAGCTAGGCTGGGATTTTTTTTTTTTTTTTTAGTTTTAGGAATTTCTCTTATATTGATGCTCTAGTTTTGGGATTGGCAACCTAAGACCCATGGGTTGAACCCAGCCCATGGAGCCACTGGATCCAGTGGGATTTCAGTGATGGCAGCAGCTTTCCCCATGCTGCGGTAATGAGAACAAGCAGCAGCCAGTTCCTAACACCTACCTGCCTCTGATCTGAGCTGGGTCATTCCAACCTATAGTCTGAAAGGTCACTAACTGCTACTCTAGTTCAATTTTAGGTTTTCTATTCATATAACCGATGCCTTAGTCCTTCTGCCAAAACATAAGATCTGAGAGCTTTTAAAGGAAGGGCTCTGTTCTGAGACAACACAGTAATGTGGCCAAAAAACATCAAGCACACACAACTTAGTCTCAACAAAAATCATGAAGTTACAGATAAACTGATTTAAAAGTTAGCAACAAATAAGTAAAAAAGTTGGGTGTGGTCCAATTTCTTTCTGGAATGCTGTACTCAATGCCTACAACTCCCCAACCGACAAGTAGAAACACAGCCTTTAAAAAAAAACAAAACACTTTTTAAAGAAAGCAAACATACAACACAACAGTGTTCAAAAGCAGAGTCCATTAAAGGACCCCAATTCTAGTCCAGAAAGAAAAAAGTTCACTAATAGGGAGGAAAAAATGAAAATCTCTTTAAAACTAGGAAGCAACTTAGCAGAAGAAAGAATGAATAAAAAAATTGAGTCATGCAGAGATTAATGCACCCTAACAGACACATCTGCATGTTTCAGGAATAAAGAGAATCCAAAATAACTTAGTCTGCCACTTCAATTTTTTCTTTTGGCTATAACATTATTAGGACATTACCACTGTACATAGCTTTCACTGATCTGACGAAGGCCTTTGATACAGTCAAAGGATAGGGCCTCTTTACTGTTCTGAAGAAACTGGGTTGCAGCTCCAAACTTGAACATCATTCACTCATTACATCAAGGTATAAAGGCAACTGTGGTGTATGAAAACCAAGGATCAAATGCCTCTGACATCAACAACGGGAGGGCAGAAGAAAACAGGGGTGCGTCTTAGGCCCTGTGCTTTTAGCATGTACTTTTCATTCTTGTTTCTTTATGCATTCAAGGGCTGCAATGATGGCATTTATCTTCAACCCAGACCTGATGGAAGCTTGTTCAACTTTGCAAAGTTTAGAGCAAAAGCCAAGGTGAAAGAACTAGGTCTGAGAGATTTCCTATTTGTGGACAACATGGCCTCAGTTGCCCACAGTGAATCTTCCCTGTAAAAATCCCTTAGGCAGATTTTCTGAGTCATGCAAGAGCTCTGGGATGACAATTAGTCTCAAGAAGACTGATCATGTACCTAGGGTTGAAGGAACCAACACCTGACATCACTCCAGAGGATAAGTCGTTTGGTGTCAGTGACAGTTTTGCTGTTTGAGTTCTACTATCAGCAACATCACAGATCGGGTTTCCAGGGGGGCCGTGATGCCCCCTGGAGGCTCCACGACCATGGTCCACCCCTAGGATGCCTTCCAGTCTCACCTGCCACACCCTGATAATATAATAAATAGGAAGGCTGCCCAAGTGCCTTTGCATGGCCTAGTTCTGCTGAACCCCTGCCAGCCTACTTGCACCCAGGCCCCTTGCTGGGCCTCACTGGTTCCCGAGCTCCTTATTGGACCTCACTTCATAACTGGGCCCTCTGATAGCTTCTCAAGCCTTAAGGTTTAATGGCGTGACTCCCTACACCATGCCCCATGTCCCGAAGGTGGCATCCTTACAAATGTTCTACCAATTGCTGATGTAGCCCATTACTAGGCCTTCCCAACCCCTTAACTTCCATCAGCCCCACTCCAGGCCTCAGATCCCTTGGTCTCTTCACATAGCCCCATCCTGGGCTGCCAGATCCCTCCATCTCTCTCTTGGCTTCGCTCAGGTTGCCAGACACCTCTGCCTTTCTTCTGGCCTT